AGAAGAAGAAGAAGATAAATAAAAGATCTGACTAATGTAAGTGGCACAATTTTTATTATAAGTAATGACTCCATAGTATTTTCTAAAAATAAATAAATATTCATGGCAAAAATTATAATAGATGTTCAACTAGATGTCCCAACCAATGTTCTCTTGGGGGTTACAAATTCAATAGTATACACAATTTTCTTTTCGGACCACACGTTGGTTGGCGTATCTATCTATCTATCTATCTTAAATACTATTATTTAGCCAAATCAATTGATGAATGTGGTCAAGACTGAAATGGGCCCTACTTCGAAAATTGAAAATTTTTATGCGAATAGGTTTTCCACCCCCCTTAGAAAGAAAAATTCCAAATAAGGGCCAAAAAAATAAATAAAGTGGCCAAGACCCCGAAAATAGCTTAAACCATATAATGATTATATTACCAACATTTACCGAAATTAGTATGAAAAATATGCTTAAAACGTAAAATATATTTGAAATCGGGTTGTACCCTCATCCGGGGGTTATGACCCATATCATGACCTGCAAGAGCGATTTAAGGTATCTTAAAAGTTTAGGAAGAAATCCATTTCATACTAAATGTCCAATTCGCTCTACTGCTTTGCACCACTTATATTCGGCATTTCACCGATTGCAGTCACAATTATGTTTGTTTAAATGAGTTCGCATTTTCCAGCTGAAGCACGATGTAGGTCCTAGAGTTGAAAGAAAGATGCCAATTTTTGGCATGAAAGATCGCCATTTAATATCGTATTGCGTACCATCCGAAATTGTATGAATTCTTAAAATCCGTCAAACCGTTGTTGAGTTATAAGCGTAGAAACTGACCTAATTTTCTTTTATATGGCGAAAATAATTCTTTATTTTGTTCGCAAAAAATGATTGAATTCAATAATAGAAGCTGTATTGAAAAAATCGTACATTATATAAAATTGACAAAAAAAGGAAAGCAAATTGAAAAAAGAAAAAAATTCAACTTGTTCGCTGTTCGCTGATCGAATTTCGAAATAATTGTACATTCTATTGAAAAACTTCGTAAGGACCTTTTTACATTTGCTGTAAAAAATCAGCGAACAAGTTGAATTTCTTTTCCTTTTTCAATTTGCTTTTCTTTTTTTGTAAATTTTATATAATGTACGATTTTTTTCAATACAGCTTATCATATTGAATTCAATCATTTTTTTGTAAACAAAATAAAGAATTATTTTCGCCATATAAAAGAAAATTATGTCAGTTTCTAAGCTTATAACTCAACAACGGTTTGACGGATTTTAAGAATTCATACAATTTCGGATGGTACGCAATACGATATTAAATGGCGATCTTTCATGCCTAAAATTGGCATCTTTCATTCAACTCTAGGGCCTACATCGTGCTTCAGCTGGAAAATGCGAACACATTTAAACAAACAAAATTGTGACTGCAATCGATGAAATGCCGATATTTTGTTTTAGATATTTTGAACAGTCTGACCTAATTCTTTAGCCATGGGCCTTCATTTGAGTGTTCAAAACCTATATGATATAGAACATTTATAATAGCCCCATATGAAAACTCAGCTCAATTTTTGGCATTGTTAAGAGCTTTGCAACATTTTCCATTCAAATTAACTGTAAATCGGAATTTGTATTTCCAACATTTAGAGTACCGTACTGCGTGGTATTTAGTTTTGTCCAATTGGTAATTGAGGGCAAAATGACCAGAGTATTCACCCATTACCGAAAGATGGGAGTCATTTTTTGGACATTTAAATCGTGCGTTGGAGACCCCATAAAGTCCTAATTTTGTTCATATTATGGTTCAATGACGATTGAACAAATGTTCGGTCCCATGCTACTTTCTAATATTCGTAATTTTTTCATGTTTCTGCCACAATTTCCGACTGAATGAATCCCAGTTTAACATTCCGGAGTTTATTTTATATATTCTCTTGGAGGTTACAAATTCAATAGAATACAAAATTTTCTTTTCTGACCACATATTGGTTAGGAAAGTGGACATGGGGGTACACATCAATGCCTATGTAGACAATTAACTGAAGGATGGATCTCTACACCAGAGTAGCCTAAATACAATTTTTTAGCCAAATCAATTAATAAATGTAGTGAAGACCAAGATTGACCCTACTCCGAAAATTGAAAATTTCATGAGAAGAGGTTTCCGACACCCTTAGAAACAAAGGGCCAAAAAAATAAAATAAAGACCAAAAATATAAAAAAGTGGCCAAGAACCCGAAAATAGCTTAAATCATATTTTGGTTATACCAAAAAGTGATAATTTTTTGCAAGGATGGTTTCTTCTCATTTTTCCGAATTTAGTATGAAAAATATCGGTTTGTATCCTTACACGGGGGTATGACCCATATCATGACCTGCAAAAGCGATTTAAAGTATATTGAATGTTTGGAAGAATTTCCGGAAGGATAGAAATCCTTTTCTTATTAAATTTCCAATTCGCTCTTCTATTTTGCACCCTATTTTACTGATTGCAGTCCCAAAGCTCTCATTGGACGGGTTATTGTCATATGAATGCAGTAGGTTCACGTTTTGAAATGAGCTCCATAATGCTTAGTCGGTCGCTTTTTTTTTTTTTTTTTTTTGTTTAAATGTGTTCGCATCTTCCAGTTGAAGCACGATGTAGGCTCTGGAGTTAAAAGCTAGATGGCAATCTTAGACATGAAAGACCGCCAGTTAGCAGTATATTGAAAAATTATTCTTTATTTTGTTCACAAAAAATCCATTGAATTCTATAGTTGAAAAAAAATCGTATCGTAATATCACATTTTTTTTCTTTCGGTCCCAACGCCACTCTTACCCGCCCTGCTAACCGAGGGGAGCGCGTACATCCCATAGTCCGCACCATGAAGGGAAACACCAGCAAACGAGCAAAAATAAAAATCTGGCAGCTCTTAATACTATAATTACAAATTAAGTATTGATATTTTTATTGCATGCAAAGGTTCACATAGGTTGTTATATATGTCACATAAAGATCTAAGGGGGTTGCTTAGTTCGTAGTTAGATCTCGCCAAGGAAAGACATTAAACACATTAAACTTTATTTCGCTAATTAAAAATTGTGAATCAATTTGAAAACGTAAAAGTCGTATTAAAAATATTGCTCTAAGCATTAAACGCCTTCTTTCTAACGATGGAATATCTATAAGTTTTAATCGATTTTCATAGGGGGGAGCCGGATTCCAGGGCAGATCTTTGAGAGCGAATATAATTAGAGAATTAGAGTAACATTTATAAAATGGACTCCACAACACGCAACCATACTCTAATGTAGGTCGAACTAGACTAGTAAACAAGCGTTTAGTTACGTAAGGGTCTTAAAACTCTTTAGACCAGGGCTTAATGAAACCTAGAAGAGACTTTGCTTTATTAACGCTAGATTCAATGTGTAAGTTGAAACGAAGTTTATTGTCCAAAATAATACCAAGATCAATAAATGAGTCTACATTCTCCAATTTGTATGAACCTACGAAGTAATCAGATTGAATATGTCTAGATCTGAATAATGATAATTGTTTGCATTTTTTAAGATTTAGTGACATGCCATTTATACCACACCAATTTACAATGGAATGTAGATCATGTTGTAAATGTAACGAACTATTGAGAAAATCGAGATTAGTGAACAGCTTAACATCATCTGCAAACATTAGAATTTTGGAAAACCTTACAACTGACGGAATATCATTGAGATAGAGAACGAAAAGTAATGGCCCTAAATGGCTTCCCTGGGGAACCCCAGAATGGACTAGAATATTTTTTGAAATGGTATTTATGAAAGACATCTTTTGAGTACGGTTTTCAAGGTATGATGAAATCCTGTCTAACAATAATGTAGGGAAACCCATTATATCAAGCTTGTGGAGTAATAAACTATGTACGACAGTGTCAAAAGCTTTACTAAAATCGATATAAATTACATCAGTTTGAAATTTATTAGCAAAACCATTGTGAACATAGCATGTTAATTCCATAAGATTAGTCAAAGTTGACCTACCTCAAAAAGTTTAGGTATTGCGCTAAGCTTAGCAATACCCCTATAATTTTCAATATGCAACGACTACCAGTTTTATGGAGAGGAATTATATAATTAGATCTCCAAAAATAAGGAAAGTAGCCTAAAGATAAAGAGTAATTAAATAATTTCGTAAGAGGTATGTATAATTCAATTGCACATAATTTAAGAACGTTTGCCGGTACTCCGTCTGGACCTGGCGAGATCGAACTTTTTAAACCTTTTAAAACCTCTTCTTCCGTAAGCAAAATTTGGGGCAAAAAATTCAGTCAATTTAATGTTAAAGCTGTAATTGCTAGTGGATGCATTCTGAAAAAAATCTGCGAAAATGTTTGCAATATCAGAATCATCGGTAGCCCCTGTGCTGCCGAATTTCATACAGCTAGGGAATTCATGAACTTTTCTTTAAGAATTCACGAAATTATAGAAATTTTTTGGGTTGCGTTGAAAACTATTTCTAATTCTTTGTAAATATGCCGAATAACATTTTAAATTTTCAGAATTATACTTATTTCGAGCTTTGGAGTAGTTTATAGATGAGTTAAATTTTTTTAAATTTCTTTAAAAGTTTACTTTTGTTATTACGTAAACGTCTTAAATATGGAGTAAACCATGGCGAGCCTCCATTTGGCGCGTAATTTGAACTAGGGATTGTTAGTTTAAAGGCATCATTTAAGATATTATAAAAGTCGGAAATGCAATAATCAATATCACCTTCAAGACGCCCGATTGTATTGGAAAGAGTAGTACGTAACAAATCTATGTTAATTTTGGAAAAGTTAAAGGATATGTTTTTATTGAGTGGTTTGAGTTTTAAGATCAAGAGTTAAATTGAGGGTTGGGTGATAATTATCCTCCGGTTCGACAAACGGTGCACATCTACATAAGGAAAGGTTAACGGTTGTGGAGAATACTAAATCTAAAATTCTATTCTTAACATTAAAAACATTATTTATTTGGAAAAGTTCTTGGTCAAATATAGCTTCCCAGAATTCGTCCATTCTACTAGCTGAGCCTGCAGATGATACAGGAATGATATATACTTGGTAAGTTGAAATCACCAAGACAAATAAGATCAAAATTTGCTGACTTTAAACATGAAACATCTTTCAGAAGCTTTGCGTGTTTACTGTATATTTTAAAGTCTCAATTGGAGGAATGTAGGAACAAGTTAAAGCAATATATTTACCATGATATAATAGTTTGACAAATATAAATTCTATATTAAGATCTTCAGTGACAACTATTTCAGACGTAATGGAATTATGTACAGCTATTCTATTTACTCTATCATTTTTATAAACTTCAAATCGGTCAGAAAAGATTTCCGCGTCGTAGATTTCAGGTTTAAGCCAAGTTTCAGGAAATATAAAGACTTTAAAATCAGAACCAAAAGATTAAACAGGCCATTGTGCAAAACTTCAAAAAATTATTTTAATGCCTCAAAGTATGCTTCAGATTGTAAATGTAAAATTTAGAATTTGGGATTGAAAACAAAATAAGAACAAAGCACAGGGGAAAAAACGAAACAGACGTAAACAGCAAAAGTAAAACAAAAAGATGAGAAGGCGCAAAAACAGTCACAATTTGTTTTAATTATTTTGTAAAATACCGTATTTAAACACTGTACTTCACAATACACGTATAATTTCGATAATATTAATAAGAACTGTTAGTATTTCACTGCACGAAAAGAACAATAAATAATAATATATCTAAAATTATTTGATCACTATTTTTGGCTCAAATAAAAAACAACTATACACGACAAGAGTTGCCAGACTTTTTTATACCCTCCACCAAAAGAAGTATGGAGGGTATATTAATTTCGTCATTCCGTTTGTAACTCATCGAAATAATCATTTTAGACCCAAAAAAGTATATATATTCTTGATCAGCGTAAAATTCTAAGACGATTTAGTCCTGTCCGTCCGTCCGTCTGTCAGTCTATTGTAATCACGCTACAGTCTAAACGAATTAAGATAGGAAGCTAAAATTTTGCACAGATCTCTCTTTTGTCTGCAGGCAGGTCAAGTTCGAAGATGGGGTATATCGGTCCACGATATCGTATAGCCCCCATATAACGGTACCCCCGATATTCGGCATTTTGAAAATCCACACAAGAAGTTCCTTGCGGGTACTTTATACCTCGGCAGAGAATTATCTATATAGGTCCACGATATCGTATAGCCCCCATATAACGGTACCCCCGATATTTGGTATTTTGATGATTTTATCCACATTTTTCAATAGAATTGTCTTAAAATCCACACAAGTAGTTCCTTGTAGTACTTTACCCCCTGAGAGAGAATTGTCCCCCATATAACGGTACCCCCCGATATTCGATATTTTTAGGATTTTACCCACATTTTTATCGGACTTGTCTGAAAATCCACACAAGGAGTTCCTTGCGGGTACTTTATACCTCGACAGAGAATTATCTATATAGGTCCACGATATCGTATAGCCCTTATATAACGGTACCCCCGATATTCGGTATTTTAATGTTTTTAGCCATATTTTTCAACAGAATGGTCGCAAGGGGTTCTTTGTACACAAGGGGTTCTTTGTGAGCACTTTACCCCCGACAGAGAATTCTCTATATAGGTTAACCATAACGTATAGCCCCCATATAACGGTACCCCGCGATATTCGATATTTTGATGATTTTAGCCACATTTTCCAATCGTATTGTCTGAAAATCCACACACGGAGTTCTTTGTGAGCACTTTACCCCTGAAACGGAATTGCCTATATAGTTCCACAATATCGTATATCCCCCATATAACGGTACTCCCCTATATTTGGTATTTTGATGATTTTACCCACATTTTAAAACGGAATTGTCTGCTAATCCACACAAGGAGTTCTTTGTGAGTATTTTACTCCCTGAAAGAGAGTTGTCTGTATAGGTCCACGATATCGTATATCCCCCATATAACGGTACCCTCTGATATTCGGTATTTTGATGATTTCAGCTACATTTTTCAACGGAATTGTCTGAAATTCCACACAAGGGGTTCTTTGTGAGCACTTTACCCCCTGACATAGAGTTCTCTATATAGGTTAACGATATCGTATAGCCCCCATATAACGGTACCCCCGTTATTCGATATTTTGATGATTTTAGCTATATATTCCAATGATATTCTCTGAAAATCCACACAAGGATTTCTTTGTGAGCACTTTAACCCCTGAAAGGTATTTGTCTATATAGGTCCACAATATCGTATATCCCCCATATAACGGTACCCCCGATATTCGGGATTTTGATGATTTTAGCCACATTTCCCAATGGAATTCTCTGAAAATCCACACAAGGAGTTCCTTGTGAGTACTTTACCCCCAGACATAGATTTGTCTATATAGGTCCACAATAGCGTATATCTCCCCATATATCGGCACCTTCCGATATTAGGTATTTTAAAGATTTTAATAGATTTTTCAATGGATTTTATTTTTTTGAATATTTTCTAATTCGTTCCAAATGGTGGAGGGTATTCAAAGTTCGGCCCGGCCGAACTTACTGCTTTTTTACTTGTTTATTTTTGAATAATAGCTTAAATAGAAATAAGATTTATAACATATCAAAGACTTTAATAATTACTGTAAACATCAAACGGATGTTACATCTGCTTTGACAAGTAGAAGTAATTCTATGTCGTTATTGATTTCATGCTTCTTTATTTAACATAACAGATAAATGCAGAAAGAAGACATGATAAAAAGTAAAACAATATTTTACAATATTATCTTTAAAGTAAATATCGACAAGGACAATGTTTGATTGCCCAAGGATTTAGAAATTAACATATTTTTGAATTTAAATTATTTTCGATAATGTCTCACATAATGTTGCCAATAATAGCAACGGCATACAATGTTAACGTCCCAAGTCTATTAATGCGTTTGGGATGCTCTTTCATGCTGGAATAACTTACGTATCCATATGTAAACAAATGATTGAATAAAAGGTCTAATTAGTTTTTAACAATTTTTGAAATTTAAACACTCTTTAAATAAATACAATTTTATACAATCTCATTTCTTTTGAATGCATTCAGAGTCAGTTTATTTAAGTCCTTTCATTCAACTCAACACTGAATACACAAACATATTTTGTTACTTCGCAAACACGTTGTGTAAATGTTTGTGCTGGAGGGGAATCCTTTAAGACACACTCTTCACTGAGCTGAGCGTAAATACGTATACTACGGAAATGAATGATTATATGGGAAAATTCGTTGGAATAGGAATCGCATAAGGTCACATTGTGACATTGAGGGTTTGTTTTTCGTTTTGCACAGTCGTGTCCTTCTCCTTGCTGCGAATGTCCATACACAAGGATTATCAAAAACTCTAAAGTCACAAGAGTGACCAGACAATAAAAGGGATTTTTGCAATTCAGCAAGAATTGAGCATTTTCCTGATGCTGCTTTGCTACAAATAAATGTCCCTTGACTAAATGTGTAGAAATGCTCAAGCTGGATGCAAGAGTAGTCTGGTGGGGCTAATGTAATTTTATCGACTAACACTGACACCCTCTGTTTTCTATGACAATAATCAAAATATGAATTTGAGGCTGACAACCGAGTTAAGAGTGGGAACACTCGCACATATAATTGAAGAAACAAACAGGATTAATATGTACCTATGTGAGTGTGTGTGTATTCAAATACACTAGGGTAAAATAATTGCTGCACCCTATCTATATATAAAAAAAGTTGTGTTAGTTACTACACTTATAACTTTAGAACCGCTGGACTGATTTTAACGATACATACAAATTCAGAATTGTCTCCTGTCCGAAAAGGATAATATCCAAAAAATGATATACGATAATGATATATAAACATTTCCATTTTGACTTACTTTTTTCTAATTCAGCTGAAAGATGCGAACACATTTAAACAAACAAAAATGACCGAAAAAGCCTAATGGGGCTCATTTCAAAGTCTGGTGCTACTTCTTTCATGTGACAATAATCCGTCCAATGAGAGCTCAAAATGCAAAATTCTTTGGGAGTACAATCAGTAAAATACCAAATATAAAAGGTGCAACATAGTAGAGCGTATGGGACTTTTAGAAAGAAACGGATTTCTATCCTTCCAGAAATTCTTTCCAAACAATATCGATCATAACACACGGATAATGGTACAACCCGATTTCATATTTATCGTCGCCATCGTATGATTTAAGCTATTTTTGGGGTCTTGGTCACTTTTTTGTAATTTTTTGGCCCTTATTTGCCATCTTTGTTTCTAAGGGGGTAGAGAACCTATTAGCATAAAATTTGAAATTTTCAGAGTAGGGCCCATATTGGTCTTGACCACATTCATCAATTGATTTGGCTAAAAAATTGTATTTATGCTACCCTGGGGTAGGGAACCATCATACAGATAATTGCCACATACGAATTTATTTAAGTAAAGTCCCCACATTGGAGTATCCCCAAGTCCACTTTCACATCTAATGTGTGATCAGAACAGAAATTACACAAAAATATCAACATATCTACAAATTTTAGAATTTTCTCCATGTACTAGTACCCCCTCAAGTCCACCTTTTGGCGGACAAACAGACCGACATGGTTAGGGGGACTTATGAGGACTCTAATGCACAATCTGAGGTGCTAATTGGTTTAAAAAAGTAATTAACTTTGGCTATTCTTAAATCATTCAGCCCTCAATTATGAGGTGTAGAAAATACAGTAAATTGCAAATATCTGCTCATTTGACTGGAAATTGTTGCGACGATTTTTACTATACTACTTTTTAATAGATTTGTATAGCACATCCACACATTTGAAGCCCACGGCTTAAATATTTGTATCGGTATTTTAAAACACTTTAAATCGACCAGTACGTGAACTCTTATATCATATCATATCTGTGAATAATTATGCTTTGACAAATATGCATAATAGGCAAAAACTTAGTATCTTATAAACGTGTTCAGATGTGTATATTACTTTCCCCATTTGGTGTGTGACATAAGGGCTAAATAGATCTACTTTACCCTCAAATATTATCGAAACAAGTGATAT